AATTGACAGTCCACAAGCTCAGCACAGACCCTACCAGGAGACCAGTGGTACAAAAACGCCGCCTTTTTGGCCCCGAGAAGCAAGCTGCCATTGACGAGGAGATACAAAAGTTGTTACAGGCTGGCTTCATCAAAAGAGTGGAGTACTTCGAATGGGTGTCTAACCCTGTGCTCGTCAAAAAGCCAAATGGAAAGTGGAGGATGTGCATTGATTTTACCAACCTCAATGACGCATGTCCAAAAGACCCTCATCCGTTGCCAAACGTTGAGAAGTTGGTAGAACGGGCAGCTGGGCATGAACGGATGAGTTTTCTAGACGCCTGCTCGGGTTACCACCAGGTCCAACTGTTGTTAGACGACCAGGAAAAAACGGCTTTTTACGCTGGTGACGCAATATACTGCTATGTCATGATGCCTTTTGGCTTAAAAAATGTTGGAGCAACATACCAGAAGCTGGTGCAAATCATCTTTAAGCTCTAGATCGGCAGGAACATAGAAGTGTATGTAGATGATATGATAGTCACCAGTGTGCGAGCTGAGGATCACATTGACGACTTGGACGAAACATTTCAAAATTTGCGTCGAGCTCAAATGAAACTGAACCCCTTGAAATGCACGTTTGCTGTGGAGTCAGGGAAATTCCTAGGGTACGTGGTATCCAAGAAAGGAATCGAAGTAAACCCAGAGAAGATTGAGGCTGTTCAACAGATGGAGCCGCCAAGGACTGTCAAAGACGTGCAGCGTTTGACGGGCCGTGTTGCTGCGCTGCACAGGTTTATAGCCAGGTCGGCAGAAAAATGCCTCCCGTTCTTCAAGGCCCTGAGAGAGCCCAAGAACTTTCAATGGACTGATGCGTGTCAGCAGGCCTTTGACGAGCTCAAACGATACTTGGCATCAGCGCCCCTGCTGTCCAAGCCTGTGGAGGGGGAGAGCTTGTATCTGTATTTAGGGGTTACGGCAGAGGCGGTTAGCTCGGTCTTACTCAGGGAAGAGAATAAGAATCAGAAGCCTATCTGTTATGTGAGCAAAGTCTTATAAGGCGCCGAGCAGAATTACCCAGTAGCAGAAAAGGCCGCTTTTGCCTTAGTTTACACAGCTCGTAAGTTGAGAGCTTACTTCCAATCACATAAGATTATTGTCTATACTGATTTACCGTTGAGAAAAATATTGCAGAAACCTGAACTCTCTGGTCAGCTTATTGGGTGGAGCGTTGAGCTGAGTGAATATGACCTAAAGTTTCAGCCGCGCACAACCATAAAAGGCCAGGCCATTGCAGACTTTCTGGTAGAATGCATCTCGGCGACGGAGGAAGACAGGACACTTGATTACCCAGCCTGGGTTTTGTATTTTGATGGAGCTGCTAACGTTGAAGGGTCGGGTGCTGGGGTTGTGTTGATAGGCCCAGATGGCTTTAAATATGAGCATGCATTGCGGTTTAAATTCCAGACCACTAATAATGCTGCTGAGTATGAAGCTCTCATCTATGGTTTGAAATTGGCGTTCGAGCTGAAGGTACAGGGCATACAAATTTTCAGTAATTCTCAGCTCGTGGTGGGCCAGGTGAATGGCAGCTATGAAGTTAGGGATCCCCAGCTTGGCCGTTACACTTCTGTGGTCAACAGACTAAAGTTAAGATTTGCTTCATTTCAGATCGACAAAATACCAAGAGCTGACAACCACCGAGCTGATGAGCTGTCAAAGTTGGCCTCCTCGCGGGACTTTAACCCCCAAAGGTCAACCATCGTCGAAGTGCTGGACGCTCCGAGTTACACTGATTTCACGACCGAGTGTCAGCTACTAAGCACAGATCCATCCACGCCGAGCTGGACTACCCCACTTATAAATTACCTGCAAAGTGGCGAGCTACCTGAAGACCTGTCAGCTGCGAAATTGGTTAAACGAAAGGCAGCACATTTCACTTTGTTAGATAACCAGCTCTACAAACGAGCAGCCTCAATGCCCCTATTACGCTGCCTTACTCCTTACGAAGCCGAATACGCTGTGAGAGAAGTTCACGAAGGAGTATGTGGCGCGCACATCGGTGGCAAAACTTTAGCTCGGAAGCTCATGAGGCATGGTTATTACTGGCCCACTATGGTCGAGAACGCGCAGAGGTATGTCAAAAAGTGTCCGACCTGCCAGTTCAATGCTGATAATATACACATGCCAGGTACCTAAGCCTATCCTAAAGAGCATGCAAACTCTGTGTTTGTCTCTAAGCTAAGCATAAGTATCTTCCTTGAAACAGGGGAAATGCTATCATCTCTCACGTCTCCCTGGCCTTTTGCTCAATGGAGTGTCGACCTACTCGGCCCTTTTATCAAAGGCAAAGGAGGCAGCACTTTCCTGGTCGTCGCAGTGGATTACTTCACTAAGTGGATAGAGGCTAAACCGCTGTCCACGACAACAGAAAGGAAAATAGAAGAATTCTTATTCAATTCAATATTGTGCAGGTATTCTTTGATGATTGAGCTCATATATAAAATATAGGCAAACGTGATTTGTAGCTCAGCTCGCTCATCTGTGCACAGGTTCGGCATACCTAAGCGAATTATCGCCCACAATGGGCCACAGTTCCAGGCGGCAGCACTGAGATCGTTCTGTAACGACTATGGCATTGAGCTCGCCTTAACATCCGTGTATACCCCACAGTCCAACGGGCAAGCCGAGTCCGCCAATAAAATCGTCTTACGAGGCCTTAGGACACGTGTTTTGGCTGCGCATTCTAATTGGGTTGACGAGCTCAATAAAGTGCTTTGGTCTTGTCGCACCACACCCAGCTCGGCCACGGGCGAAACCCCTTTCAGCCTGGCCTATGGAGCCGAAGCCGTCATCCCAGTAGAGGTCGGATTGCCATCCGATAGATCAGATCGTCATGACGATCTGAATAATGAACAACTCTTGAGAGAGAACCTAGACTTTGTGGAAGAAATCAGGGAGATGTCCCGAATAAGAAATATGGCACATCAAAGCCGCGTTGCAAAATTTTACAATAAAAGAGTTCGAGCTCGCCAGTTTCAAGTGGGCGATCTGGTCCTGCGTAAAGCCGGCTTAACTAACACTCATTCACACATGGGAAAACTCGCTCCTAATTGGGAAGGCCCCTATATGGTAGTTCGAGTTAAGCGACATGGCTCTTACATGTTAGCAGATATACAAGGGCGTCAGTTACCTTACCTTTAGAACGTACAGAATCTTAGAAAGTTTTACAGTTAACGTGTGTAATATTATTTCGCTTAAGGTGTTATCCAACAGTTATAAACAAAGATGTACAGAAAATGCAACAAAGATTCAAAAGAAAGTTCATTTTCGTATTTCATCAATGATGTTACATTACAAGTACACACGATCTGAATTTATTAATCAAATACAAAAATGCCCAAAACAAAAATACAAAAGAATGAAACAAAAGGTCCTAAGCCTAGTCATCCGTCAGATCGACGGGCATGGATGCATCAGCCACAGCGGCAGGAGAGCGAGCTGAAGGAGTCCGGGCAGCGCGCTCAGAGGCTGGCGGGTAGACGGGCGAGCTGGATGGCACAGCTGCGGGCTGAGAGTTGGGTGGGGTGCTTGAAGGCTTCTGCTCAGCTACAGGAGCACCGTCTACCCATGCATCAAAGGAGGCCAGTCCTGCTGGGTCCTCCCCGTCTTCCAGAACGGACGGTGGCCAGACGGGCACGCCCTCCTCGTTCAAATCCCATCTCAGCCTCACAATTGCATCAGCGAGGGGAGCAAGGCTCTTACCCTGCTCGTCGAGCTCCTCCTCATCAAAGAAGACCAACTCGTGGATTGGAAAATCCGGGTGGTGTTGTAGCACTTTCCCACGGATCTCGTTGTAGATCTCCGTGGTTACATTTGCCGACGCCACCGCCACGGCGTCCTGGAACGCAGCCGAGCCAACGAACCATTCTGCCCCTTGAGCCCGAGCGATGACGACAGAGCGTGCATGGGAAGCCTTCAGCTGGGTCAGCGCTTCCCCTGCAGCAGCAAGGCTTCTGTCCGCCTCGGCGACCTGCTACCTAAGGGAGCTCAGCTCGTGCTGGGCACGATCCCTGTCGGCCTCAGCCTTCTTCGCCTACTCTTCAACCCGAGCGGCCTCGTCCCTCGCCGCTTGAATCCCGCTCTCTCTCTTCGCACGGGCTCGCTCTAACTCCTCGGTGAGCTCGTTGATCTTATTGGCGAGCTCGTCCGCCCGGCTCTCTACAGCCGCAGCTCGGTTCGCCATTTCTGAGCCTTGCAAAAGGCTGGCCTTCTCAGCAGCCAGTTGTTTGCACTTGGAACCGAGCTCGCTGTTCTGTGTACGTGCCGCCTGCTCACTCTCGTACAGAGCCACAGCGTAGCTGAATGCCTGCCAAACAACAACAGTCGTAAGTACCTAGTAAGGAAAAATAAAACACTTAAACAGATATGAACAGATACTTACATCCATAAGTTTTATCATGGCGACCTGGCCGCCATGTTGCTGCACAAAAGCTTTGGCCCGCTTGTTATCCATAGGGGGCACAAAGTTGTGCATGGCTTGCACCATGGCGGGCTGACACTCTGCCCGCACATAGCTGAAGCCCTCAGGATAAGCGATCCTCGGGCTGGACATCGAGGCCAATGCAGAGGCGGGCTCCATTGCTGCCCGCACAGTCACTGACGATGCATTCGGTGAACGTACGGCTGCAGGACGGGCCGCCTGTGCGGGCTGAGTCCCCCCGCTTCTTATACGCTTAGCAAGGGGGACCTCATCCTCCTCGCTCTCTGTCTCCTCGCGTGCACGTCTGCGCGCGCCAGGAGCCGCTGCCTCAGTTCTGTGGTCTGCTCATGGCCTTGACGACGAACTGGATCCCCGGTGGGACGAGCTACATGATTGAGGTGCCGGGGGTGGCCGCTCGTCGAACCTTGTCTGACGGGGTTGCGCGCTGCCCGACGCGCGACCTCATGAGCCTTGGGCTCGCTGTCGTTGGCGTTCCAAGATGCTGCTCATGTCTCTTGCACAGAAAAACGCATAAGACTCAGCTCGGCTAGAATTAATACTATATGATAAAAATATACCTTCGCTGAACAGGTTTGTCACATCGACAAACCCTAGCACGGCGAGAGCACCTGAGGTAACCAGGGCTTCTAAATCTATTAGACCCTCCCTCTGCGCATACTCAAGCAGCTGGTTCTTCAGATCGACATCCCGAGGCAGTAGCTGAGGATAATTGATATGAGCGTTGGGGGTGCGCCACTCAGACAGTCGGGTAGCGAGGTCGTTGCTTATCCTTTCTGCTCGGGTGTCGCGAACAAAAATAAACTATCTCTTCCACCTCGCCACCTTATTCCTCACATTTTTGAAGAGCTAGCTCTTATCCCTCCTAGAGAGGTAGTACCACTTCGCTCCTCGTGAGTTCGGGCACAACCGGGACTAGAATAGCGACCTGAACACTATCGCTTTTGCTGGTACCTCCAATCTCGCGCACAACAGCATAAAGCCTATGACGAACCTTATGCTGTTGGGCGTTAATTGTGTCAGCGCCAGCTCGTAATCTGCGAGCAGATCGAATATCAGGCCGGGCAAGGGAAACCGCAGGCCTGCATCAAAGTGGTCCACGTACACTGGTATCCAGCCCGTCTGTGACACTATGCACGCCCTTTCATTCTGCCCGCCTGTCCGCAGCAATATGTTCTCGGGGATTTGGTACGCCCTCACCATCTCCTCCAGTCGTTTATACCCACTTATGGAGGGCGCACAATCTGCTACTTCGTGGTGAAGCACAACTTTGAATCTGAATCCAGTGGGCAGGTCTTTCGGTGCTTTTCGCAGGTTGCTCATGTTGACGACCACTTAAGATTTTTTTTCAAAATAAATTGAAAAATCATTAAGTGTAAAAATATAAAAGAAAAGGGAGTCGCCACTCGTCCAAATTATAAGGTGGGACAAATCACCTAAAATGGGTCTGCGCAGAGATCGGGGTTGGGGGGTTCGGTTAGGAGTGAGGAAGGGCATACGCGCACCTCACAATCCTCCGTTTAAATACGGTTGCATACTTTAAAATTGGGGTTTTAATTCAACTTATTTATTATATTTTTGTTTGAGTCTTAAAAAGCAAACTTGAAAAAGAGATAAACCGAATCAAAACTTTTTTTTTATTTTTTGACTGAAATAGACAATCAAGAACATGCATGCACAATAAACACAAATAAAATTTAAATGGACTGATTTGATTAAAATAAAAAAAAATAGAGGACTGATTTGAAAAAGTTTAAAACTTTTGGACTAAAGTGCTTAAACATGAAAAGATTGTGCGAAATTGAAATAAAAGAGATAACTTATGATTTTTTTACTTTTTAACCTTTTAGTTTTTTTTTATTGGATTGGGTCGGGTTGATCCATCCAAAAACACGAACCCATCAACCAAAGTGGGCAAAAACAGATTAAAAGCTAGAACAAAATGAAATCTGGACAGAAACAGAAAGGATCTGGATTTTCTGTTCGGCCATCCAACAGAACAGAACAAAGAAAGCAAGTAAACATCCATTCCAATTCGGATCCATGAAATTCAACAAACATGCTTGGTTTCATTTGCAGTATCATCATATAGTACAATTTTAATAAAGCAAAACTCTATGAAAATCAGAATCAAACAAGGTGAAATTTCTGGAAAAAAGCAGATTGAGATCCGAAGGGAGGGATCCCACCCACGGGATCAAGCTCCCTTCTTCTCCCTCACGGCTCTTCCCAAAAATTCCTCTGTTCAGAAATTACCTAAGGCAATGAAACCCAGAAAATGAAACCAGAAAATGAAACCAGAAAATGAAGCTCCTCTGGAAGCTCGGTGATCCTTCCTCTCAACCACCGTTGTTGCCCCCTTTCTTCTCCAGTAAATCCCCTTCTATTGCTCTCAAAAACTCAGACGAAACTCCCCAACAAAGAGACCCAAAATCAACCCCAAAACCCACCCCCTTACTCTGCTTTTGCCCTATATATATACCCCAAATGATAGAAATAAAAAATAAAATGCAACAAAAGACAAGGGCCTTGCTTTGTCAATCAATGATGCCAATTTGTCCGGTACTCCTTGTCTTTTCTGCATGTGAGGCAAGGATGGGGGCTGCAGTAATCAGCGGTGCAGAGGCGCGGTGTGCAGGGAGGCAGGGGCGTGGAGTGCTGATGATGGCTCGGGCGTGCAGGGGCATCATTGCCGGCAATGGGGCGCAGCAGGGCAAGCAGAGTGCAGGCGATCTGGTGCAGAGCGCAGGAGCTGGTGCAGAGCAAAGCTGGTGCAGGAAGCAAGGCCGGGCGCAGCAGAGTGCAGGCTGGGGCAGAGTGCAAACGATCTGGGCGCAGAGCAGGGAGCAAGGGCGTAGGTGCAGGGCTGGTGCAGCTAGGCTGGGCGTGCGAGGGGGGGATGATGGCTAGTTCGGTGCAGAGCTGGGCGCATGAGCTAGGGGCGTAGGAGCTAGGCTGGGCGCGGTGCAGACGGGTAGGCTGGCTCGGCTGCAGAAGAGAGGAAAGATAGATGGGGAAGGAGAAGGCAATGTTTTCAAAACCGGACCGGTCATTGAACCGTTTTCAGGTCCGGTTCCCGGTTTGACCGGTTCAACCGGTTGAACCGGTGAACCGATCGGTTTAAACAATAAGGAAGGTTTGATGAGAGGAGCAAGCTATAGGCATGGATTTTTTTATTTGGTGTTGATAATTTTGTAATTTTGTTAAAGTTAAAGGTTAAAATGGGTATAAGAAAGGAATGGGA